AAGACAACGGCAACAAAAAAAGAAGAAGAAAAAAGGAAAGACAACGGCAAACAAAAAAAAAAGGAAGAAAACAAGAAAAGAAGGTCCGATCTCCCAAGGCCCGCTCCCTTTCTCCCATTGGAAGGGGCCTCCGTAGCCTTCACCAGCTGCGCTGGGATCTGGCGGATCAGCAGCGCGGGGTCGTCCTCGTTGAAGACCTGGGCTTGGGGCAAACAAAAAGGGAATCGGGGTAGCCTTCCACTCAAACTGGGCAAAAGGAGCTTCCACCACCCAAACTGGTACCACCAAATTCAGCTTTAATATGGGGGCGTCCCTGGTTTTTAGTGGGGAATCAGACCTTTGGGAGGGAAACACCACCCTCTTAATATTAATTGATGTTTGGACCGAACCAAACCACTGCATTCAGCTTCCCCGGTTGGAGCCAAATCGGTAGTGGTTGAGGGGATTCCCATGCAGTTCCTGGTTTTTGGTGGGGAAGCAAACCGCTTTTGGAGGGGAACACCACATTCAGCTTCCTTTGAGTTGGTTTGGAGCCAGGACTCCCTTACCTCTACAAGAACCAGGGGTTCAAATCCCAAACCTACCCCTCGCACCAGCTGACCCATGGGGTGGTGGGCCCTGGTAGGGATGCTGATTGTTGTGGTACCACCGAATGGCAGGTTTTAATATGGCATGCTTGCATTTTGTTCACCACCACCTTTTAGCATCCCCTTCTTTGTGGGGCTGCGCAGCCGGGGAGAAAAAAAAAACTGCAAAGACTCCCCGCCCGAACCCTTTGGCCGAGGGGCGTATTCTTCCGCCCGGTCCTTTCCGAGAGTCCTCCTGCAGGGAAATCTGGGCAAATTGGTGAGCTAACCCTGTTCCCCTACTTGCAATGCTCTAGGGCATCCGTCGTAACATTGCTCTTATGACTTTACTAATCCAAGTCACTCAAGCGGCAGGTTAAAAGGAAACAGCCCCAGTTTCTGGCTTTCACAACCGACAGCTTGCTTTGGATCGTTTTAGTGGGGTCTAAGCTGGGCCAATCAAATGATTCCTTTCAACCTGCCGGTGCGTAGGCCTTTCCGCAAAACGTGTGGGCCTGTTCACTTGTAGGGCTCCAAATGGCCTGTTCCATGCTTGTCCCTGGCGAAACTACGACTTCAACTTGCTTGGGATTGGCTGAACGGCGACTGGAACATCTCAAGCTTCTAGGGCCTTCGGGTTTGAAGGCGGGAGCAAAACAAGATTACAAATGGCTGTGGCTCAGACAAATCTACCAAAATGGCACCTTGGTAAATGGAGCCAAAGACCAACACCCGCGCAACCCTAGCTTTTGAATTTTGCGCCACGCCAAATCAAGCCGCACATGTTGCGTGCGTGTCGCCCAGCACGCAGGAGCCTTATGCTTTCTCAACCGACTGCCGACCGCTTACCGCTCTCAAAGTAGGCATCCTGCCTCAGCAAGCCCCGCAAGCCCGCCAGGCTGCTGGGGTGAATGAAGAGGTCGGTGAGGAACAAGGCGATCACATCTGCGTCTTCGGCCGTGCCTGCGGCTCAAGCCCCAAGAACAAGTTCAAGCCACCGTCAATATAAGAGCGTCTTCAAATGCGGGGGCCCAAAATGACAGGTGGCCTTTTGGTTCCCTTCAAAATGGTACCCGAAAGAAAGAAAAGAACATACCCATATCCATTTTGTTCCAACTAGGGACTTCGTCAACGACCAATGCTAATGTCCAAGTCCCCTAGTTGACCCATGGCATGGTCCCTCTGTGACACACCCAACTAATTCGCGACAACGACGAACCCGTGGTCAACATGTCAATTCGCTAGGGTCAAGCATCATGCGCGTGGGATCCAACGGGAAGTTGTGGGAATGGATGTCCACCACCCAAGGCTTAGGGCGTTCTCCCAGCATCCTTGCAGGGGTCCCATCCCCACTCCATCCGAAAGCCAGAGCCTTTCTCGCTGTCGTAGAGCAACCTCTCCAAGCACCTCACTGTTGGCACCTTGCATGGGTCGTTCAGGGTGAGTTGGGTTTAGGCGGGATGGCCGTGAACATTTTCATGAAACCCCTCAAAAGTGGGTGATGGACATAAACCCTCACCGAATTCTGATGTTCTCTTTAGTGGGTCGCAAGTTAAGATTAGGTTTGGCTTAGGGTGGGTTTGGGGCGGAGATCGATCGCAAAATCGATCGCCAATCGGCGCGCCAGAAAGGATGTCCCTCGAAACAGGGAATCTAAGTCAGGCTCCCTTTTGGCTTTCCTGGCCCTGATAGATATTCATAGTAACATACAAATAACAAGCCAACAATCCTTGAAATCATTTCGCTTGAAGCCTCTCTAGATAGATGCCCCCCAACCTATCCCAAACGAGTTTGCCCAACCCATCCTTCCATTCCCTTCTGCAAAAGGACGCGTAACTTGCGTCCGGGCCCTCAAGTGAGAGCAAAATGGTCGCTGCCTTTGCTCCTACCAGGTTCCTAGCTTTCTTTCTTTCTTTCTGCAAACCTTTTTTTTTGATGATCCCCCCCCCCCCCCCAACCCCCATTCTAATTTTGGCCCCCCACATAGATTTCAAGGATTTGAACCCGGAGCCTCGAGCCCAGAGGGGAAATCGGTTTATCCGGGACAGCGACCAAAAAGCGACGGCGCCTTGTCCTCCAGCTTCAAGAACCCCAGCCAGACCCGCAGCTCCGTATCGGGGGCACCTGCGCGCCAAACACGGGGGGCTGGAGTGGCTGGAGCCGAGGTTTGGGTACCAAGCAGCTCAAGTCGAGTTGCCCTCGTTTCCAAGGAACCAGCACTCCGCTCCGCAAAGCTAGCTTTCTAGAGGAACACCAAGCACCAAGCACAGGTACCCTTTTTGCCATCTCGGTTTGGAGAAAAAAAAGAACAGAAGAAGAAGAAACATCATGTTTTGAGACAAAACATCAAAGCACCTCCCTTTGCAGCGCGGTTTTGGAACCCGAAACCCGCAGACCTGAGGCACCAGCCTCGTCCCTCCGAGCCGAAGAGCCGCGACAGGAAATGGTCCACGTTCACCTCGCGTGTGAGAGACAAGCTGTCATCTCAGCCCAAACAAATAGGGTCCAGTCTGCTTCATGTGGTGGTTTGTTTACCTCTTCAACATGGGCGTGTGGGTCAGGCTTTTGGGCTCCACCCTTGAACCAGGGAACAGGGATCCTTACATTATACACCTCAACAGTACCATGTAAGTGGTGGTTTTTAACCATTTTGGTGTTGAAAAATCAAATGGTCGCAAAGTTGAGATGGGGAACAAAAACAAATTCCATGGGCCAACCCGCTTGGGTGTTTGGGACCGGGTCTCAAAACCTGGCTGTTTGAGCGTCCTACATGCATCGAATTGGAGGCAGGAAAAAAAAATGAACATTGCCTTGTAAATGGTGGGTTCCAACTGTATTTTGGTGTTTCAAATGGGCGCAAAATTGCCATCTTTTAAGGAGCCCTGGGGAAAAAATGCAAACAAACGCGCCTGGGAGCTGCTTAGCAGAAACTCCCTCAGCACCTCCTCCTCTGCGACATCCAGCTCCTTCAACACCCTCAGTGCAGCCGAATCTCGGGCAGCGCGTCTAGTGGGAAGAGGACGTGCGATGTCAACTATGACCAGCTTCTCAGTACTCGTTGGTTTCACCCTCAACACAACAAATGCAAGCCAACAAGATGTGTGACTACGTGTGTTTAGATGGTCTTCCCAAATGTCAGCATGGCCCGTAAACGTGCGGTTGACCACCATGTTCAAACGGGTTCTGCCGAGATATCAGCAGACTGGCAGTCTTCTCCTGTGTATTTTTAAACGATCTACCCAATGGAGAGGTTGGCCTGGGATGCAGGCAACGACCGCTCATCCAACCCACCACTCGAAGATGGTTGACATGGGGGGCCCATGCAAAGCACAAAAAACCCATGGGTCGACGAATGATCGTGGGATGAAATGGCTTGACAGCCATGGCTCGAGCAAACTTCCCAACTTGGGGAATTCCCTTGACCCCCTGGCTCATCCAAAGCGAGAGGGCGATGCGGCGATGTGACAACTGGGACAGCTTCGCTGGCGCGTGCATTCTTGCGTCCTTGCTGGCGCATGTTTACTTTTGACCAGCTGGAACACATTTGACACACAAGTCCCGTGGGGTCGCCTGTCACCCACTTTTGGGGAAGCGGGCGCCTGCCATTTTCAGGCTGGTCTCAAGGAAAACCAAAAGGAAACCACCCACTTTGGGGGGACTCATCTCTTGGTTGCCGTTGGTTTAGGGGCGCAAAAATTTACATTCCAGCAGTTCACTGGGGATTTCAGCCACCAAACCACCACCTACGCCGAAAAAAAATAACCAGAAAGAAAAAAAAAGTCTGCTTCCCCCACCGCCGTCTTTGTCTCTCCGCGAGCCCCAGGAGCTGAAGGAGCGTGGCGGAGGGGATGTGGCCATTGTGGGCCACCCTCGCCAGCTGCTCGGACAACCGGCGCCGCGGGGCTTGGGCCAACATAGCCTCCAGGTACACGGTGACTGGCGCGTTTCTCGTGCCCTGAAAAAAAACACAAAACGTGGCCGTGGTCAAAACCGTGGGGGCATCTTGGAGTAGTGAATTCACCACCCCAAAATTGGAACCTACATGGCCATGGGTGAAAATCCAAAAACGTAGCCCCAGTGAACATCACAATCCCCACTAAAATAGGTTCTAAGATGGGTGGTGAATTCACCTGCACAAGCTTGACAGGAAGGTCCCCTAAATGAGCCTTCCCCTGCAGCAGGCTCTTCCTTTAACCCTGGCGCTTTTTGAGAGAGAAAACAAGGGGAGGCGATCAAAGGACCCTTGCTTCAGGCAGAGGTCAGCGTCCATGCATTGCGACATGTCAAGCGGAGGAGAAAGCGATGCCAAAAGCTTGCACTCCCCCGCGCAGGAAACACCCGGCTTTAATTTGTTGTCTGCAGGTGTTGTTTTTTGCGACATCTGAAATGCAGATGGATGCCTCCCTGAATGAAGAAGTCCCTCGAGCATGGCACATAGCGCCAGCGAGTCCTCCGAGTTCTAACCTTGGCATAGCCAGTTCTAATTTTAGTATAGCCAGCACAGCCAGTAGCAAATTCAGTGTTGCCAATGCACTGAATACCATCTGCACCCAAAACCTCGAAAGAGCCTCTTTACCTTGGCGTCAAAGTGGTCATCGGGGATGGTGGCAGTAGCACCTGACCTCAACACATTCCCAGTGCTTCCAGTTAGGCCCTAGACAGCCAAGCTGGAGGGTCTGAGCAAAAACACTCGAAAATGCAAATGAAAATGTTGTTCACAAGCTTCGCCCTGCCCCGAAGTTCGGCGCCCCTGCCACAGGCGCTCTAGTCGCTGCGCCTCAGTTTTTGGAGGGCCCCGGAAACGATCCAAACCCCAAAAGAGCCCTCGAAAAGCAGAAACGAGCAACTGGTTTCCCCTTGAAACACTCTCCGGGCCAGGGGTGGGGGGTCCGCCTGGAAGTGGCGGCGAACAGAGCTTTTGCAGGAAACAATGCCTGCAACTAACTACCGGTGCCCTATCAACTTGGACAGCTCCTTCACCCAAAATGACAAGAAGGGCTGAAAAAAGCCATAGGAAGGAGCAGGAAAAGGATTCCGATGAGGCTTGGATGTCCCTAAGTTGGCCTGGAACCAGGGCTTGGGGGTCCATTTCCCACAAGATGTGTTTTGAGTCGGGTTTCATTTCAACCTGCCGGTGTGCAACCTTTTGGAACTTTTGTAAGATCGTGCGACAACCCTTTTACCCTCAAAAAACATAGCCAACTGTAAACCAGTCTTCTTTACTGAAAGGATACAATTCCAAAACCTGAGAAAACAAGTTCTCCTCTGAATTCTGAATCAGCTTGCACGCCGTTCCAATTTGCTTGATTCTACTTCTCGGTTGCTTTCTGCTCCCCTGCTAAAAGTTTCTAACGTTTAGTGGTGTAATACGGAAAACCCATTAGCTGGATCAAAAAGTTCAAGTCCTAACATCCCTTGGCAAAATGCGCCAAAGTGCAGGCGTCTTTTTGTTGAGGGTCACTTGTTGATGCTTTCGAAGGGAAACATTTGGCGTCCATTTGCTGAATATCGTCTGGACAAAAATGAGGAACATGTTGTCCAGTGATAGGTCCCCTTTTAAAGCCAAAGACTTCTTTGCCGCACCAAAGGCTCGTTTGCCTCATAAGGGGGAAATAGATGGCCCTCGTAGATGATTAAACCACCAGGTAAACCAGGAATCGCCATCCATTTTTCTACCAAAACAACCAAAAAGGACATCTATGGTTTGCCTCCCTTGGCCATGTCTCTCACTCACAGGAGCTGGCCATGCAGACCACGGCCGGCGTCACCAGCAGAGCGCCTAACTGTGGCGCACTTGGCGTGGGAGCGCACCGCTTGCGACCGGCCCACCACTCGGTTGCTACTTGGTTGACGTTGGAAGGGGAGCAAAAACTTAAATCTTAGCAGTTAAGAGGGGATGTCCCACAATAATCAAAAATGTAAAATGGAGGGTTTTCCTTCTGGTTTTCCGCTAAACCAACCCCCCAAAGGCAAAGACACATGTGTATCCCAACCAAAGCTTTAACTTAGGGACCAATGCATCTAAGGGGTTGGATTGCAGGTCTGATCTGGGTAAAGATGGCAACAGCTGTGCTGTTTTCCTTCTGGTGCTCAGTAGGAATGACCTTCCGGGTTTTGGGAAGGAACCTAGGGACTCTGGGTCATTCCCTCACTCCTTGCTAAGAACTCGCCAATTTGGGTTGCAAACCTAGCAAAGGAACAGTTCACCCTGTATCTAGCAAGGGTTCATGGGGTGGAGAACGCCTGCACCAGTTGGCGGGTGGTCTCTGGCACGTGGTGCTTTGCCCCAGGCAAATCTAGATTGCCCCCTTGAAAAAAAACTCGCTGACCTGTACGAAACGGACCGCCTTGCTGAATGGAACGAATGACGTCGAGAGGTCGCGTGCCCCATTGGTCGCAACAAGCTGCCCTTGCGGACATGCGAACTCGGGATGCCCCTTCGTGCCGAATCCGAAACCCTTCTCGCCTTTCTGTAGGTCCAACGTCCTCCCCTGAAGGTCGGTTTCTGTGAATTTGGTTTAAACCCCTGACGTCGACAGGAAGACCACCGAAACAATCCGATTCCTAAAACATGACGAGCCATATGGCTGTGGGTCCAAAAGTAGGTACCCAAAATGGAACCCTGGTAAATGGAAACAAAAACTTAAACCGCGTAACCCTAGCTCTTTCATTGTGGGCCACACCCGTATGAGTCATAATCAAAACCCGGTATTAAAATGGTCGAGCCCAAAACCACGTAAAGAATCAAGAAGGCGGGTATCCGCAGCTATTTATGGCTGGGATTGTGACTCGTATGGCTGTGGCTCAAAAATTGACCAGCTAGGGTTACGCCGATTTTAGTCGTTGGTTCCATTTGCCAAGGTACCATTTTGGTACAAAATGTTTGAGCCACAGCCATATGTTTAGACCAGTTGCCAAGCCCATCGGCATAGGACCCTAAGTCTTTGGGGCCCTGGGTGTCGGGCGCAGCAGGGAAGCCTCGAAGAGGTGCGCGGTCAGCAGGTTCCAAACTCAGCCGCTTTGGCGGAGGAAAAGCCGACAGGTCGGATTCTGAGCCCCAAAAATGGGGGAATAAACAGATACAACTTCAGGATTCAGAATTCAGAGGATCCGCACCACCTTGCTTCTCAAAGAGTTTTGGGAACTGTATCCTTTCAGGAACTGAGTCCCAAAAGACCCCACCAGACCTTTGGAAGACTTGGTTGACGTTGGAAGACGAGCATGTTTCCCCGATTTTAGCCGGTAAGTGGGCGTTTCAACCACTAAACCACAATAAGCAAAAATACAAAATGTGTCCCAACAACTCACTTGCTGAGTGGATGGCCCAACAAAAGTTCAAACGCTATATTTACCACTAATTAAAATGGTCTTCCCAAAAAGTTTAAAGTTCATGAACTCAGGAAGTGAGACAACAACCGTGAAGAAGCCAGGCGGAAGGAGGGAAAAGGGTATGGCTTCTGGAGCCCTACTGTGGATGGTTGTCTCGCACCACGAACCGTTGGTGGTTGCATTTACCGAATCACTCACCAGGATTTCTGAACGGTGGGAAATGGATTTCGCAACCCTCCACAGTATTTTGCCCACGTCCGAGGGACCAAAAGCGCATGATTCGAGACGAAAGCTTGCGGGGATGTTGACCCTGTCAAACGGCGTCCACGAACGAACGGAAACCAGGAATAAACAAGTGCAAGCGGTGCTTCTTCTAGGAGAAGCAACAATGAGCATGTGGGACCCCTACAGAGACCGGACACTGCAACAGACGCCCCAAGGAATCGTCAAACGATTCGCTTCGGAGCCGGCTGGGCCCGCAGCTGAAGGGGAACGGCAAGGAAGCAATGGGGCTGAAAATCGTGTGGTGCGGCACCTGGGCTACGCTTGGGGCGGGGGGCGCGGGGCGGGGCAGCCAGAAGAACCAGCAGAACAGCTGGGCTTTGAGATTTGCAGAAAGGCTTCCTCTAGTCTCAGCCTGGTCACCCAACTAGTTTCAGCTTCAGAAACTGTATCGTGCTGCTTGTGCATGTCAAGAGACCAAACATGCAGCCCATGGCCTTGTGCGAGGAAAATGCGGCTTGAACTTGCCAGTCCTAATCCATGTGGACCCGTGTCAATACAACGCAACAACATGTCTCCATTCAAACCAAACCCAACAGGGGAGTCACTGCGTGTCCTCCTGAAAAGTTGCAGTTTACTGGTGGTGTCCATGGAAACTGCCACTTCTGGAAGTTCCACAAACAACACAGAAAAGAAATTAACATACCCCCCAAACAAAACAGGGCTCCCTATAACTTCCCCCCACAACATCACCCCGTTCAATCACCTATGGCCCAACACCAAGGGAAATGCACGGACCCTTCAAAAAAACCGCGCGGCTCTCAGACAGAGATCCTTACATTGTACACCTGAACATTGCCTTGTAAATGGTGGTTTTATTTTAGTTTTGTGGAAAAAGCCATGTTTCAATTGGCCAAAAAGAATCTTTTCAGGAGCCTTTTCGTATGAGAGCTTATTTTGGGCCCCCCGGCCAGTGCGAAGGTGTCGTCCATGAAGGCTGGCAGGACCACGTGGCACAGGGAGGCCCCGGCCACCTTGATGAAGTTCACCCAACGGCTTCACCGCACGAATGCAAACAAACAAAGGACCCAGATAGTCATGTCCTCTACAAAGCCCTTGCAACATTCCTGCGACCCCTGACTGGCCTTGAAGAACCATCTACTGGGACATCTTCAATGGGATTTTCTCCCCTCCTCTTCAAAAAGCCGTCAAACTCCCCGAGGAGAAAAATGAAATCCAAACATCATTTTGACCACCACGTACCACTGAGCCGCGCACAACACCTCCCAACCTCAGACGCCAAAACCATAACGTGATTGGTGCTGCCGCAAAAGTATTCACATTCCCTCGCGGGACTTGCTCGTCGCAAAAAGCGGGCGTGGCGGGGCGCTTATAGGCAGGCCTTGAAAAACCACCCAAACCATTTCTCACTGCCACATAACAACTACTCCCTGAAGCGTGCCACTATGCCCAAGTCATGCGCTAGGCCTCCAGCAAATTCGAGGGAGGTAACGGCAACGCTGCGGCATTTGCATTGGCATCTGGCCTTAGGCTAAAGTCAACCAGCCGCCGAGTGCTGGCATCAAAAACTCGCAGGGAAGTGACCCCCCCCCTTTCAGGCCCAGGCGAAACGCGATTTTCCATGCACCAACCGCGCCTGGGCATGGGGGCCCACGCCACGCGCAAAACCCAAAAAACCAGGGCAGAAACCCAACTCAAAGCTGAGGCGTGTTTCCCGCCTGGCGCTCAACGCGAGGCTTCCGTTCAATGATGCGAACCAAGAAGCTCGGCGAACACCCCATAAAACGCTCGCAGTGGCACAAAGTTCACGAACGACAACCACATGTTTCCATGTCCAAATATGTCCAACATATTCGTCCCTTAATGTCAACCTCTGAAAAAATAAACACCCCCTTGCCATGTATTCATCTTGGAGCCTTCTGGTTTAGTAGTTGCTTTATACTTTTGAAGCCTTGTGGTTTCATGTTAGTTCAGGTGTTGGTTTGTTCTGGCGGTATAACACTTAGTTTGGTTTTTGATTCTTGTTGTTTGAAAATAGGGTTGGGCCTTGCAGGTCACGCTTAAAACAGTGTTTGATAGCAACGAGTTTCAAAAAAAAATGATGTTTTGAGAAATGTGGGGGCAACTTTATCTGGCAAGCTGGTTGTTGGAATAAATTTAAACACGAAGGTACCTTTTAGGAACCCTGATCTGTTTTTTGTTTCCCTTGCGCCTGTCTGCCCGCGGCTTCCCCCCAACAAAACTATGCTTAAGGGGTTTTGCGCCCCCGGGCATCAGGGGACTTAGCATTCCTCCCTTCCTCCCTTTTTCCCTTCCTCCCTTCCTCCCTTCCTCCCTTCCTCCCTTCCTCCCTTCCTCCCTTCCTCCCTTCCTCCCTTCCTCCCTTCCTCCCTTCCTCCTTTCCTCCCTTCCTCCCTTCCTCCCTTCCTCCCTCCCTTCCTCCTCATTGCGTCCTTTCTTTGCCTTCTTGCCTTCCTTGCTTCTCTCTTCCTTTTCCTCCCATTTCTTCCCTTCTTCTCTTCTTCCCTTCCTCCTTCCCCCTCCCTTCTTCCCTTATTCCTTCCTCCTTCCTCCCTGCCTTTCTTTCTGCTCCTCTTCTTCTATTCCCGCAATGCTTGTAGAGTGAGAAGTGTCAGAAAACAAATCAGCGACACGGCTACAAGCAAGTAATTTTGACCGTGCCTCAAATCATGAAGGGGAACAAGCTGGTTTCTCTGGCTTCTTTTACCAGTCGTGCTAAACTTTGGTGTGACTGGTGGGATCAGGATGTGGATGTTTCTTGCTTCATGTTGACAGTGTGTCGGCTGCGAGTCACGGCCCAAGGCACTCACTTCCAGCAGAAGGGCCACGCGCGCTTGCAATTCATGGGTTGCTCCTTCTACTGCCGGGTTTTTGTGGATGGCAAGGAAGTGGGTGAGCACCGTGCAGGACAGGTTGACAGCCTCGGGCAAGCAGATGCCAGTGGTCAGGTTTTCCGCATTTGTGTGCGCCCCAGCAGCTCACGCAATGCATTCGCAGGCGGCTATGTGCCGTGGTGGTTGGATTTGGAGCCTGCATCTGCGACACGAGAGTTATTCGTTCTTGCTGACAATCGTTGCTTGGTTCCATTCGGTTTTGTGCGGTGAGTCCTTGATTTCCAGAAGGGGACGGGATTTGCATCGAGTGGCTGCTCAGGCTTCAACAAGACCACGGCACCCCTTCACACTGGTGCAGGTCAGCCGGGCAGCGTCCAGGCACTGGCAGGCAGCTGTGCGCCTCGACAAAGCGGCAGTCGGCGAGGACATCGCTGACCGGCGGGGCCGCTCCGTCAAGGCTGCGGGCCCCGGCGCCCGGCCAGATTTTTCAATTGTTTGTACGCAGGGTTGCTTGCAGGCTTGCCATCACCGAGCGGATTCCAAAAGGGAGCTTCCAAAGAAAGATCTGGGAAGGGAAGGCTGGGGTCCGGGTTGTTGTGGGGGAACTTTAGTTGGGGGGCTTTGGTGCTTCCCGCACTGACAATTATTGAGAAAGTTTGAAACAAAACCCTGGCTTAGGGGACCACACGAAAGGGAAGGCGCAAGCGAGCCAGTTGCTGAGCAAGTCGGTGGGGAAAAGCAACACGGTCGGTTGGTTCGCTCCACTTACGGCCGTGCACGCACAATGTCAAGGTCAGAAGACAGGGTCTCTCACGCACCAGCGCATGACCGCAGGGGGACGCTCCCAGCTTAGCTAGGTGCGTTTCCCAACCCGCTTCCGTCCCAGATGTGGGTTTGCTGAAGCCCTGCAGCAGGCCCAAGCTGAGACCACCGCGCACAAAATCCTGCCCCCAACCTCGAGGGCGGGCGCGACCAAACGGCATCGGTCAGAAAACACGAGCTCATCCTTTTGTGCGCCGAGCTATGCGGAAAGCTGCCCCTTCAACACGAGCAGTGATAGACACCCTCTCAACAGCGTGTGTTTTTTCCCAACAGCTGAACGCTTAGGGTTCCACACAAGCTGTGTTGATGCCGTGGCCGGATAGAGCTGCATATTTGTTTTTTTGAGGGGGAAAGCCGCGAGCAGACTTAAATGAGACCCCAAAAACTAGAGGTGCAGCTGGGGAAAATGCGGGTTTGAAGCGCGTCTGGCCCAGCATCAGTGCGCTGCGGGCGCCGGGCAGCGCGTTCGGTGCAACGATCTCCTACGTGCACTGCCACTTGCCGAGCGCTGCGTACTTTAAAGGATGCCCCTGAAACACAAGGGTCTGCTGAGGGCCGCCCAGTTTTTCCGCCTCCTTGCCGGCGCTCGGGCCCGCGTTCTATGCCAGAGGAGTTGCAGTTCTGCATCGTTCTCCTTCGCAGCCGCCAGGGCCTTTGCAGCCAGCCTCCTCTTCTTGCTGGGCGCCGCAAGCTTGCCGGTTGGCCGTGTTTGCGGTGGAGGTTGGTGGGCGGTGGAGTGATGGGGCCGCCGCCTTCATCCGATCCTTGGCCCGCGCCCGCGCACTTGAAGCGCCAGCTTGGCTGCGCCCCAGCGCTCTTGCTGCCAGGTGGTCGGCCCAGCTGACCCACGCAGCCATGACAGCCTTTGCTTCGTCCCTTCTCAGGCAAGCTTTGCAAAGTCAGGGGTAGCACCCTGCCTCCCCTCGGCACCTTGCTGGCTGATCTTGCCCACACGCCACCGCTCCTGATTCGTGCGATGCTTCACGTACTTGTTTTTCTCGCCCCTTTTCGTTTGCTCGCGTCTGGGAGAAGAAAAAGAAGAAAAAAAACGGCCAGGTTGCTCATTGGCGATCACCTAAAAGCGTCTGTCATCGAAGCCTCAACCGGGATGTTGAGATCGGCGACGTTGGCAGCTTCGCGACAGATCCGAGCACCTGCCTGCTCCAAAGCAGAACGGTGGTCACCCAACACATCGAGGCGGCGCCAAAAAAAACACGCCCAGCAGCCGCCCTTTCACCAGTGCGCCGTCCTGCCCCGAGCTCACGTTCTCTTCTGCCCACTTGCGTGCCCTGTTGTTGCGGCCTTTGTCCGAGCGCACCTGCCGGCGTCGTCGCCCTATTGACCCTCTTTGCGATCACCGAGCAAATTCTCAGGGTTCCTTTCCTCTCTACCTCATCTCATTCCTTTCCCCCATTCACTCACACCTCCATTTCCTGTCTCATGGACGAGTCAATTGGGAGGCCGTGAATGCAGGAAGGAATGGAGGTACAATGAATGAGTAGTGAGTGAAAGCGAGTCAGCGACCTTCTCGCTGCATGCCCAGCTTCCCCGTAAGCTTCGCGGTAGCAGCAGTGTGCACGCGAGGACGCTGCCCTCCAAAAAAAAGTGTGCATGTGAGGAAGCTGACTGGCCTCCGCACAAACAGCTTGCAAGGTCCTAGTGTCTGGGGACTCCCTTCAAGCCCCCGTCGGCGGCCTTGCATGGGCAGTAGCTGCGAACTAAACGACGCGCGGCGCTGCCAGTCGATAGGGTGACGGAGCGCCAGCGCAATCTTTTTGCCGTGTTCAACACGGCGGGCACTGGAGATCTCGCTTTGGATCGCTGGCCCGTTCTCGCGCGGGAAGTGCGCCGCCTCGAATGCGTGGCGCTGTCTCGGCCGCATTTGCTCGGCGATGGTCGTCTTTTTTGCAGCGCATGACGTGCCGTGCATATGCCGCCAGCCTGCGTGCCCTCCCCGCTACTCCTGCTGCAGGGGCTCCGGGTATGTGCATCACAACGCGCAAAGGCAGGGCCGCCATCGGCTCGGCCTTGGTGGCGCTGAGCGGCGCCCGAACAGGACAAGGCTGAGACAAACGTGGTGTGGAGAACAAGTTGCATACCGATGACTTCAATCCTGAGTCATCCACAAGCACGTTGCCGATCTCACGAACAAGGGCATGCGCGGCGATCACAGCACCCGCTTCAGAACAGACGCGCGCAGCGCCTGCTTTCAGCCATGCCGGCAGTTCGTGCGCAAGCGCCCCAAACGTGACACTGGCTCAAAAATCGTTTCCGAGCACACACGCAGTGTCAGGCCGGACCAACCGCATTGCAGCGGACGCTGCATGAAGGCTTTGACTGCGCACAGGAGCGTGATGCGAAATTGCGGCAGCATATGGCAGCTGGCGCCACTGCGGCCTCAAACTCTTGTCGGGCGAGTTGGGCGGCCGCAGCCCGCTAGGACGCGGCAAAATGGGGCATTTTGCCCAAGTTGGCGCACAGTGTCCCCTGCAAGGTCGGGGTCTCTGCGGTCGATGCTGGGAAGCTGTCAGCCCACAAGGCCCAAAACGCAGCGCGAGCGTGCAGCTGGGCCGCCCGCAGCCCGAGCCCGCTGTGTCGCAGGGCGAGCTGTGACTGCCTGACGGCAACGTCCGGGAGTGGGCTTCGGGCTCCTCCTGCCAGGTCAAGTTCAGCAAGCTTTGTGGGGCCCTTCCGGCGCAGGCCCGTGCCTGAAGCATCGTCTAGCGGGTGGTTTTCGAGAAACAAAAACGAACTCTTCAAGCATACGGCCACTTCGGCCCGCACTTGTGCAGCGTTGCAAGAGATTTTCTTACCATGGGCCAGCAGGTAGCAGCAAAGGCAACCTTTGCTCCACGCGCGAAAAGTGCGGAGCAGCGAGCCACAAAAACAGCGACGAGAGCGGACGGGCGCCTCACGTGCTTAGCTGTGATGATTACCCCATCGGAGCGTGACTACCGGCGGCAGGGGGCCCCAACCTGGAGAGAACGTTGCTTGAGGGGCTTCGATCGTTCGCCCTGACGATTCCAAGCGTCTGCTCGGGGCAGGAATTGCAAGACGCAGCAGGCACGGGCAAAGGCGCAGTCAAGGAGCA